CGAACAAGATTGTATAGATTTGGTTTATTCTGCAAATTCAATTGAAAGAACGTGTCTAAGTAACGTGAGTTACTTGGATGTGGCAACATGTACAGCATGCCATCCACTTACAGCATCTGGTGCACTCTTTGTTTTGGCCACATTAAATTTATTTTAATAGTTTCGACCAGAGTCAAAGACTGATATAAGATGCTTACTTATTGTCCTTGGCTTTACCACCAGGACAAGCAGAGGCGGAAAGTATCAACACCAAAAATTTAGAGAAATTGTATGAAACTCATCAGAAAGAAAAGGTGCAAATTGCTATCATTATTTAAAGAAAATTTAACTGGGACATACTAAAAATATTAATAATAATAACATTTATTTGAAAAACGAGCTTCATCCCCAAAAGCTCGAAGCGCGGTACAAAGTCAACTATATTAAAAAGAGAAATAAAAACAATCTAAAATTTACCAAATTTAAAAAATAGACGCAACAATATAAAACTACATACGAGCATACCAAGTCAAAGTCTTTCACCCAGTTTCAACCAAAAGCAACACAAAGCAATATACATTAACTGAAAAATATGTTAGATAGCATCACCCCAGAAGGTTTTTGCGAAATAGATGTGTTTTTAAATCGGTTTTTAAGGACTAGTATCTGGTTGTTTCTGAGAGCGACTGGAAGGGCGTTCAAAATTTATGGGTCGGCAAATGCAAAAGTGTGCTTTCGTAGGTCTCAAGGCGAACACACGGTATCGATATTTTGCCACTATTGGATGAGCGGAGCTCTCTAGTGGGTACATAAGGCGTCATGAGTGCTTTGAGATGAGATGGCGCCAGGTCATGTAAGCAGCGGTAGCACAAAGTTGCAATTTTATACTATATGCGAGCGCGGACCGGCAGCCAGTGCAGCTCCCTCAGAAGGCTTTTAGCATGCTTGAATTTGCGTTTGCGAAGAACAATGCGAGCCGCATTATTCGGTGCTCTTTGAATTTTATCCAGGATCGTACCTGGGAGGCCCACCATTGAGAGCTTTGCAGTAGTCCATGCGTGATAGCACAAATGCAGACATCAGCCTCTTTATTGCATCTAACGTTAAGAAAAGTCTGATATGACTAATCCTGCGCAGCTCTAGGAAAATTGCCTTGAAAAGCATCTTAATATGATTTTACATAGTAAGTGTTCTGTCTAAATAGACACCCAGGTCTCGCATTGTATGAGCAAACTCAATCTGCATACCTGAGAGAGTAAGTGATGTTGTGTTTTTTACAGATTTTTGTTTCTGAGCAGTGACAATAGGGATCAATCAGCTCAGTCTTTTCATCATTCAATTTGAGCTTGTTTATGGTCATCCAGTGCTTAACTGACTCCACTGTTTTCTTTGTCGTACTAAGAAGTTGAGGGAACTGAGAGGGGATCATGGATTGATGAAGTTGTGTATCGTCCGCGAAAATGGGATACAGCATGTCAAATTGCTTGATCACTGCACCCCGTGGCTTAACTTACATATTGAAAAGCATCGGGCCTAGGACCGAGGCCTGGGGAACTCCAAATTGAATTATAGATTGCTTCGAGGTCAAGCCGTTTAAAATAACTGACTGCACCCGATGTGTCATATACGAGTTAAACAATCTCAGGTCGGTATCTGTGAGACCGAACTTTTTTTTACAGATGCTGGAGCAGTATGCCGTGATCAAGCGTATCGAAAGCTGCCGATAAATCGAGTAAAGACACAATGGATACTAACCATAACCTTACATTACAAACTTAAACACCTGTAATTTAACAGACACTTGAATCAGATTTGTGAAGCATTTTTATTTGTTCATTTAAACATCTTTATAAATACATTCTTACCATGAAATAAAACATAGCTTATTTCCTAAAAGTCTTTGGAAAGTCCGCTCTCATACTTAGTGGTGGCTGTCAGATGGTCAACTGGCTCCGATGGCAAATCATTGACGTAATGTGTGATAATAAGTGGTATCTCTTACATGTCATATATATATATATATATATATTATATATATATATATATATATTTATGTTGAGAAAAGTCAAAGTGAGAAAAAACCAATTCGTATGAGAAGGGAACTTTACTAAATTTGAAACTTAACTAAATGTCACTATGTCGGAATTACACCATTTTCAAGAGTCTCATTGTTGTGAAAATCGTTATAGGCAGTTGAAAAATAAATTACTTAATAACTCAATGAAATTAATGCAATCTGATATGTCATAAAAACACCAAGTGCTTCATTAATGATGTAATTTTAAAATGAATTGAGAAATTATCTTACATATCTGTAATGGATTTAATACAATAAATATTATTGACATACTTTGATCATGCAATTAGGTCATCTTAAAATTGTAAAAATCAGTCCGGCCCCAGAGCCTGGTGAGACCTTTTTACCAGCCCCCAGAGCCTGAAGACCTTTTTACCAGGCCCCAGGGTCTGGCGAGACCTTTTTGCCAGGCCACATAGCCTGGCGAGACCTTTTTACCAGGCCCCAGAGCCTGACAAAGTCTATTTACTAGCCTCCCCTACCAGAGCATGACGAGATCTTTCTACCGGCCTCAAAGCCTGGCATGATTTTTTTACCAGCCCTCCATTTAAAAAAAAAAAAAATTCCGATTACTGGTCTAAAGGGTAAATCGCCAATGGAAACAGAAAAAAATACTAGAAACATATGATGAAGTCTCATAAGTAATTCATTGTTTTACTACAGCACATGCATTGTGCAAAACTATGAAAGGCGTTCCTTGTCTTAAGTGTCAGCGTCATTTTGACACAAAACAATATTCTTAAAGAAAGAGCGAGATGGGGACGGATTAAAATTATACAGATATTTTTAAAAAAAAGTTATTATTATTATTATTATTTATTATTATTTAAGTTCGCATTATCTATTTTATTTTATAGAATAAATATGTTATAACATTTAATTTAGATCATCGTTTCCCAAACTTTTAAGTTTCACGGACCGGTGGACAAGTTTCGAAACTGCACCAGGGACCGTGCCAGATTTATTAATTACATTTTCTTACTATTTAAACATCAATATGCATGCCCTCTGAACCGGTAACGTAAGGCTCGCGGACCACCACTTTGAGTAGCACTGATTTAGATGATTCTTAGTGGCATACCGCAATATGTTATGCACAGTACTTACCATGTAATATTAGATCAATACTATTTCCGCTAAATGCTAAAAGCAGGAGACGAATGGTTTTTGCTGTAAATAAAATAAATATTTTTTTTTACACCAAATAAAGTTGTTTGTGATTTCGTAAATAAAAGAAAATAAAAAAAAATAAAAATAACGCATATTAAATGTTTTTTAGAATTCCCTTCATCAACATATAGGGCCTATAATATAGATAAGCTAAGATTCATTTATGGATCCAAATTAATGGAAATGTTTTTTGATTGCATTATACATTTTCAGTACATAAACAAAACAATTTGAAGACAAGACATTTATAATAAATTATCTCAAACAGCCATTCAATAAGTTCTCTTAGCGAAATCGAGACTTATTAGTTCTCATTAAAATGTGTGACTTTAGGGGGAGCACGCCAGTAAATTCGTACAGATTAGGGAACAAAAGAATTTGTATATCTTTCAGTCCTCGCCCTGATGGAAAGAATTCGACCCGAACGCCCAACTCCTAAATATCTGTGGTGAAGAGGCTGGGATGTATCATCCAAATTGTGTTTAGTTTTACAAAAACATCTTTCTTCAAATAGTTCTTCAATTAAAGGATGTTTAGTTTGTGTTATGTTCCTAGCTTTCTTGATTAGTCGGTTTAGACGGTGTTTAATATCAGACGTTGAATTCCCACACCAGCAGGTAATACTGAAGTTAAGTAAGGTTCTAATTGTTGCACTGTATAATGAATTAATGACTTGCTTGTTTACGCCAAAATTGTACAGTTTTTTGAGGTACAACAGTCTTTGGTTGAATTTCTTATACAGCATTTGGCAGTGCGCATGCCATATTAGCTTATTATTAATGTTGACACCTAAGTACCTGTTTGCCTCCAGTTTCTCTAAACTTTGATTTTTTAAATTGAGATCTGTAATCTCTTCCTCCCCCCCCCCCTGAAATCAACAACCATTTCCTTTGATTTTGAGACATTCAGCTACAGAAAATTTTTATCGCGCAAATTGATAATAAATATATATATATATAAAAAAAAAGGAAAAAATCTCGGGACTTTTCTGTGACGCATGGGGAAAGATGATAAGGGTATTTTATGAATTTCTTAAGTTTAACTAAACTTTGATTTTTTAAATTGAGATCTGTAATCTCTTCCTCCCCCCCCCCCCTGAAATCAACAACCATTTCCTTTGATTTTGAGACATTCAGCTACAGAAAATTTTTATCGCGCAAATTGATAATATATATATATATATATGAAAAAAAAGGTAATAATCTCGGGACTTTTCTGTGACGCATGGGGAATGATGATAAGGGTATTTTATGAATTTCTTCAGTTTACTAGTTCTGAACTTGAAGTGTTTCATTACTTACTCGACTTTTCGTTACATGCCGTTGATTTGCAATACTAATCGATTTTTAATTAGTATTATAAGTTAATGTCGTGTAGCATTTTAAAAAATATCGACGTGCACATATTCGACTTTAACTTTAATAAAAATACATAGTAATTTGATACAATAGAAAGAAAGAAATATCAACAACACCCACACAAATTAAAAAAAAAAAATCAAAGTTCAAAACAAAAATGCTGAATATAAAATTGTATTATATTTATAATCAGAGATACCCTGCAAACCAGCCGAAGAAGGCAAGGCTTACGATGTTCAATTTACGTCAACTTTGCCAGAAAACCTAATCCAGCGTATGAATGTGGCATCTCATTGGGACATTATCACTACATGTAGCAATGGCCTCCGTTCGTGCAAAACAGAAAATCCTGATTTGTACAATACAACGATAACAGAATCTAACGGAACAGTTGTTGTGAACCTCAAGGTTTATAA